CAAAAGCAGAGGGCTCCTCTCAAATCTTCATGATTTTTCCATAATAATGTTCAACAGACATACCTTTTTGTTTACAATTTGCAAGATTGGACTTCAACTGTTGAATTATCGGGCCATTACGAGTAGAGAATCACTCCTTAAGAGAAAACTAGATATCTTTGACATGTTCATGTTGAGTAATGGAAGAGCGAACTTTGGGAGCAACGAATTTCATTAACCACGAGACCATCAGATCATTATTGGCCCACCAGTCTTCTAGTAACTCGGTATCATCAGACGGACATGAGGTTGAGCCATCGAGGAAACCGAACTTCTTTCGGGCCCAAAGAGCAATCCGAAGACTCAGTGCCCATTCTTCGTAATTGGAGTCGCCCTTAAGCTAGAGCTGTGTGATAAGATTGCCCGGATTGTCGGAAGACATGATATCATACGGTGAGATGGTTTTTGGATCACCACGCACTACAACTGCCACCACTGGTACCGTAACTAGACAATGAAGAATCAACCATGAAGAAGCTGCTTGAAAGGGCGCACGACAAAAAAGATTCAGATTGGATTTTTTTTTCGACGCAATCGAGCAGATTTTTTTTTTCACACAATCGAGCAAAGCAGGGCTCGACTCAATCAATCATAGGCCTTTGAACAAATTATTCAACAAACATTAGAATTACCAAACAACATTTTTGTTTTTGGTTTATTTATTTATTATTATTATTATTTTTTTTTTTTTTTTTTTTTTTTTTTTTTTTTTTTTTTTTTTTTTTTATAAGAGGGCAAACGAAACATTGAAATATCATGAGAATAATACATNCGGCCCTTTGAACATATTTTAGTTTTTATTATTGTTTTAGAAAAGAATAGAATTACCGATGCTGCAGACAGGGGATGACAGACAATGCTGCGAACCACGACCGATGACATGGACTACGAGTTCCACTGGACGTGGAGGAGGGCCGAGACGCAATCGGCCAGAGGGGAAACTCATGCAACAGCTGAGAATTATTCGAGCAGCAATCGATCGCGATGATGACGACGAACGGAGGCGATCGCGATTACCAATATGAATGAATGGCAATGATCAAATTTGACAGGAAAATTTCCTTTCGATCGAAACAAAAATTAGGTTGTGAAACCATGATATGAGAGATATGAGACGAATATTGCAGTGAAAATCATCTCAATCGAATGATACCAACTCTCTATTAGCCAAGCATATATACACAAAATTAAGGCTACACAGATACCTAAAGTTAACCTAAGGCTAATACAGTAATAACACAATAACACACATCTCGTTAATTAGATAATTGGTAAATATATATTGTTTTAATACTTCGAATATTAAGGGGAGAGAAAAAAGGTTTCCACATTATGTTACCATACTCATTAGAAAAACACAAATTTTGTGGAGAAGATTAAACCATTTTTATACTCACACGCGTGCGCACACACACACACACACAAATATATATAGTCACGTTCTGGTGATAATGGTGCTCAATGAAAGAAATAATAATACATAAAAAAACCAAAATTATACCTTTATCAAGAGTTGTGGTCATTTTCCACACCAAAATAGTAGGACCCATGCCGCCACACACCCACTCACACGCCCCACCTTGCACCTCACATCTTTATCTCTCTCTCTCTCTCTCAGACACACATAAACCACACACGCGCACACACACGATGCACACATCATGTTTCAGTAGTAATAAGTGTCATATGACTTCTTAAATTTTAAATACTTGTGAAGGAGAGAGTCATCCATGGAATTTTCACTAGTAATAGGTGTATTGCTGACAATATAGTCAAAATAAGTATGGCAAGGATGTTTTCTAGGACCCCTAGGACCTTTCCAATCAGATGGATAACCAATGCCTTGATAGTAATTAACTGAACGATGAATGTAACCACAATGAAAGCATTTCAATTTTGGTTGTCTATAGAAAATTGAGGTTTACCATGGTGAGCATAATGGAAATGAGATGAGACAAATATTGCAGTGAAAATCATCTCAATCGGATGATACGAACTCTCTATTAGCCAAGCATATATGCACAAGATTAGGTATACACATATACCTAAAGTTAACCTAAGGTTAATACAGTAATAACACAATACACACATCTCGTTAATTAGATAATTGGGTAAATATATATTGTTTTAATACTTTGAATATTAAGGGTGAGAGAAAAAGGGTTCCACGTGATGTTGCCATACTCATTGGAAAAACACAAAATTTTGTGGAGAGGATTAAACCAATTTTATACTTACACGCACGCACGCACACACACATACACACACACAAAAATATATATAGTCACGCTCTGGTGATAATGGTGCTCAATGAAAGAAATAATAATACATAAAAAAAAAACAAAAATTATACCTTTATCAAGGGTTGTGGTCATGTTCCACACCAAAATAGTAGGACCCACGCCGCCACACACCCACTCACACGTGGGTCCCACCTAGCACCTCACATCTCTATCTCTCTCTCTCTCTCAGACACACATAAACCATACGTGCACACACACACACACGATACACACATCATGTTTCAGTAGTAATAGGTGTCATATGACTTCTTAAATTTTAAATACTCGTGAAGGAGAGAGTCATCCATGGAACTTTCACTAGTAATAGGTGTATTGCTGACAATATAGTCAACATAAGTATGGCAAGGATGTTTTCTAGGACCCCTAGGACCTCTCCAATCAGATGGATAACCAATGCCTTGATAGTAATTAACTGAACAATTAATGTAACCACAATGAAAGCATTTCAATTTTGGTTGTGTATAGAAAATTGAGGTTTACCATGGTGAGCATAATGGAAATGAGATGTATTGTTGGCAAGCATGGCAATAGAATCAAACAATTTGTTGGAACTACGAAGAGCTCGTTGAGATCTTGGAGTAGGAAGGAGTAATCTTTTGGCACAAAAGGCAGAGGTGAGAACAAGAATAAATAGCTCTATCGAGAAGAATAAGTGTTATTTAAGCCAATGAAAATTTCATGAAAGAATAATTTTGTTCTGAAATGTTCATAGCAACAAAAATATGACAAGTGTAATTATTACAAGTGCAATTACTGAAGACACCACAATGCCAGTGGAAAATTGGTCTGTATGTAAAATATCCACCCGAGATAGCTTTAAAACGCTTTATGACACATAGGTAAAATATTCATCCGAGAGAGCTTTAAAACTTTTATGCCATTGTATAAAACAGATATCCACGTTTCATAGAATTGGGTGATTATTCATGTTGAAACCCCTAAGACTACTGGAAGGAACATCTAGATCAAATTTAGTCCCATGCATCTTAGCAACAAAAAATAACAACAGAGATTGTTGTAATTCTTTAGTAACAATGCAGTAACCATGATAAAACTAAATTATTGGTCTGTATCTATACGAGAAACTCTATAGGGTTTTGAGTAGGATTGGGAACAAAAATTGTATCGTCGAGAAAATCTAGCTTGTTTTTTACGTTGAGGCGCCTTGGAGGCATCTCACGACCACGAAACGTAATTGTCTCATGTAAGTAGCTCACCGACGATGAGCACGTCGGTTATCACTCGCATGGAGGCTGTAAGATGATCATGTTCGACCGTCTGTGGAATTCGCCATAAAAGGGGATCTATAGATCAAAGATATAAATATCGACGATGACTGAATAAAAATAAAAAGATCTAGCATTTTCAAACCGTAAAAAGAATCAAATCTAGGGTTGTTGAACCTAGATCGAAGGAGAATAAAATGAACGTATCATAAAATGGAAAGTGCAGCAACGAATTTGTTTAGTTGAAGTGTAATTTTTGTTTACAAAACAATATGCTTTTCTCTTTATCTTTATCTTGGATTTGACAATTTTTCCTGTAGTCAAAGTATAAATAGCATGTAACCCAAATACTAAAAATAATAATTTTTCAATGTTTAATCTTGAAATATAGTACACCACTTTCTCTTTTCTCTCATTTCTCACTGTGTTGCATCGGTTTCATTTGGGTCTTTCTTTTGAGATATTTGGAGATTAACATGGTACCATAGCAGGCCTGATCTAGGATCTATGTCGACTCTGCCAATTGAGTCTGATCTGGGACAGTTAGCGAATGATTCAAAAGTAAAGAGACATTTGAAATATCATTTATGAATTGATTTTAGAATTAAAACCTCAATAAGCTAACAACTAGGCTCGCTTTCTTAGAGTGCACTCCACTCCACTCCACTCCTATAGGACCTAACACCACCGATATAATTATTATGTAGGTATATAGAATTATCATACATATCCAATGTAACTAGTTGAAATAATTGTTATATGACATGTAACTTGTTGAATAATTGTTATATAACATTTTCATTCATATATAAGTACAACAAGTTCAAACGTTAAAAAAATATCAAGAAATGGAAAAGGAAAAAAAAAAGTGTCTTTCTACATATTTGCTATATTTTTTGATTTTTTTTAAAGAGTGCACATTTAAAATTATACCATATATAAATTAGTGAAAAATGAGTCATAAATAAAAAAACACAATACAATTTAGAATTCAATGACAAAATAAACCTTAATTAACCCATTTATAAAGTTTAAAAGTTAGTTCAGTTGCAATTACAAATACAAATTGGTGAATATGTAAATGAAAATAAATTTGCAAAGCCAATGATATAATTTACCCCAAAACATAGTCCCTTTTGCCCGACCAATTTCTGTCTATACTAAATCCCTTTCCAGAATCACCAATTTATCATATCTCCAATATCCATAAACTTGAACACTGANTGTCAATTAAATCCCCCCCTTGTACACTTCATTTCACGTCAAACAATCAGTACTCCAACCCAAAATACACCAAACAGGTTCAAATTTTTAAAAAAAAAAAGAAAAAAAAATTCTCTCAGTCCCACGCTCAAGAATTAATTTGAAGTGAATAAATACAATGCAACTCCAAAGAGGCACGAGATTCTTCTTTGCTACTCATGCCTCTCTCCTCAAATCCACTGCAAAAAAAAATCGTGCAATTTTCTTGTGTCAGATGAGAAAAGAAACAAAACAATTAACAGGACCTCCTTTGAAATCCACGCAAGTGCTCCAAAAGCAACGAGGCCTTCCTCTTAGCCCTCTCAGTCCCATCTTCCACAAGCTCCATAAGAGGACCCATCACTCCAAGCCCACTCAAACACTCTAAATTATCACAGTCCCTTTTGCACAAAGACAGCAAAACAGAGGCCGCATTCTCTTTCCCGCGCGGCAAACCCGTCTTAAGAAGCCCCACCAAAACAGGCATCATTTTCGCCTTCACAATACAAACCTTCGCTTCATGGTGACTCGCAAGAACAGAAAGAATGGTCAAAGCCTCGTCAACCATGCATCCATTTGAGTCTGTAAGCATCTTTAAAAGCCCGTTTATAATCCCGGCCCGAATAGCCCTCCCTTTATTCCCATGATAAATACACAGATTAAACAAAGCTGTTGCAGCATCTTTCTTCCCTCTCGAGCTCCCGTTTTCCAACAAATCCACCAAAGCAGAAATAGCTCCCGAGGCCCCGATTATTATTTTATTCTCGTCGACTAAAGACAAACTAAATAGTGTGGCGGCCGAATTTTCTCGAGCCTCATTGCTTCCGGATCTAAGAAGTTGAACAATCGAGGGAATTGCGTTTGCAAGCATGATTAATCCCTTGTTGTTTTCGTAAATCGAGAGGTTGAGAAGGCATGTGACGGCATTATCTTGAATATGGGCGTTTTCGGAAGTTAATAGGTTGATGAGAATCGGAATGGCTCCGGCCTCGGCAAGAAGGATTCGGTTTTCCGTGCTTTTTTTGGAAAGTGATCGGATTTGGGAGAGGGCGGAATTGCATTTTCCGGTCGAGAGGCGGCGAACGAGGGTTTGGAAGGCGGATAGATTGTGTATAGAGTTTTTGGTGGGGTGGTGGAGATTGCGTTTGAGGCACCATTGAGAGATGAGGCTTCTGAGGACGTAGTTTGGAGTGAGAGTGAGGTGGTGGAGTTTTTGTTGGGTTTTCGGGCATGTTGTGTTCCCACAGTCGATCCACCGTTGGATGTACGATCTTTCGTATGTCTAAATTGAGAGAAAAAATGGAAAGAGCATGAATTGTTAGATGTACGAGTTTANAAAAAAAAAAAAAAAAAAAAATTGTTGGGTTTTGGCTAGAAAAGGAAAGTAGTTTCTATTGTATTCAAATTGAAATGTGTAATTCGGCTTTTGTTGCACATAAGGGGTGTTTCAGAATACTGAAGGAGAAAATAAGAAACAAAAAAAAATGGAATCTTGGCGTTTGAGAGGGACAATACAGTAAGAAATTGTTGTTTTTAGAAACATTCATGTAATCTTCTGTGAGAGGAGTTTGTTGCAAATGCTTAAGAAAGTAAAGTGATAAGTGAGCTGTTGACTAAAAACAAAAAGAAAAAACCTACTTTTGTCATGTTTAACTGCCAATTTCTGCTTCTAACTTCTTAATAAATCAGAATTTAAAATAAGGACAATGGATGCTTTAGACTTTGGACTCAACTTCTGGTTCAATTTTTAAACACGAATTATAAGAACTTTCGATATTTTATCAGCAAACAGTCCTGTTTACTGTATTCAACATTTGACTTCCATCTACAAACACTGTCATGTCATCTTCTGATTATGAACAATTTTTTTTTTTTTTTTTACTTAAATCACTTCTCCAGAAGCTGAATCTTTTAAAGAACTCTGGATAAAAATAAGTAAAAACCTTAAATCTTTACCTGTCCTGTAGCCACAATCACTGGATCCCTCATGAGCTCGAGAGATATTGGGCAACGAAAATCATCCGGAATCACAACAGAATCAGATTTCTTGTTCTCCTCTACGTTTTTGCATGACAAACTATTATTCCTTATTACATTTTCTTTGTTCTCGCAAACTTCATCCAAAACATGGTTCACTAAAGCAAGACCTTCCATTTTCATGCTGACATCATGATCAATATTGCTGATATCATCCACATGTAAGCTTTTGATCAACCTGTTGTTTGTTTGAAAAGGGTCGATATCTTTATGCAATGGCTGAGATGATGCTTTCTGTAGTAAGGTCGAGTTTAGGGGCCCACCGTATTTTTCAGTGGCTCGTCTCAACTGTGATGTCACTAAATCAACCTGGCGAAGAAGGGTTTATTTATGAGACTCAATTTTTCGAGTCCAATCCAGATAATAGACTATAAACATGATTATTGTAAGTAGTAAACGAACCTGCTCTTTTACTTCTTCGGATATATCGAAATCGTTGTAAGGTAAGTTAGCCAGTGCTTTCTCCAATTTCCATGTCACGCATTGAAATTGGAACATGATTTTCTTTGTAGCGCCATTCTTGAGATATTGAAAATTGAGTGGAAAAAATTTCTTGTGAGGATATGGTTCTAGTTGAAGTGCATCATAAACCTAAACTTAATTTTATAGAATTAACTATACACAGCAGATCACACAGAGAAATCTAAAATAAGTTTTAACAAAAACAATTTGTTCAACTTCATTTGCAGATCCCAAAAAAAACTATCCATTGAGAGTTCAATCAAACAACTAAGAATACATGTCAGCAGATCAAAATCAAGGTAAGAAACACCAGCCAACTAACAAATTGATACATATAAACGATCTTTTCTCAGAAAGTCACACAGAATCAACACTACCCCCTTATGCATATCATATAAGAATCAACCAATTTACAGAAAATAATAACAATTCAAACACCACCATACAGCTACAAACTCAATCAATCATAAATATTAAGCAGAAAATGGAAATTAAAAATAAAGAACATCGCAATGCCATTGAAAACGCAACTTACAGAAGAAAGCTTGGAGCTATCAAAATCGTTAGCGGCAAAGACAAGACCTTTCGCGGCCTGAAGAGATAAAATCAGATCGGAGAAGCAAGAATTAGAGAAAGAAGATGAGCCCACTTCACATTTTTTTTTACTTTTCTTCGTGTCCCTAATCTCTTCAAGCAAATGTGCTAAGAGCGAAACCCTTCTCGCAAGGTCCGTGCAGTCTTTCTTGAAAAAGCCCGAAAACCCGGCGGCGGAGATCCCAACGACGTCGCGTACGAGGCGGAGGGCCTCCGCGGTATCCTCACCGGCCGCCATTGGAGCGGAAAGAGCGATGGTGAAGGTAGTTTGGTCAGTGCAGTTCCTTGCAATTACAATGCGGTCGACATTGCTGTATTTAGGCAGCAAATTGTGAGTGAGCTCATCATGCTTGGCGTTATACAGTTGGCAAATTCTCAATTAATAGTGGTAAACTCTGCAAAGAGAGAAATTATTGGCATATCTGATACATCCTTGGTGTATGACAAATATGACCATTATTTAAATAACAAATAATTGTTTCAAATGTTTTTATTTGCTTTCCTTTTAAATATGTATTGCTGTAAATATTAGAAGAAAAATGCTACAAGTACATAATAATTGTACATAGAGGTGTACATAGCACTCACATGGAATGGGTTCACTTAATTTTTTATTTTTAGTAGGTCCGACTCAATGTGAGTGTTATATATATCTATATGTATAATATTATATACCTATAGCATTTCTCATATTAGAAAAGGAATATCTTGATTATTCTTGTTAGTTATGGAATAATAAAAAGGAAAAAAAAAAAGAACAAAAAGAAAATGAACAATTATTTCTAATTTTTAAATGAAAAACTTTAATGTGCTTTTATCAAATTTGTCAAGTTCAACTCCAAAATGGTATTAATAATATTACATGCTTGTAGATGAAGATAAGGATATACACACTTTCAAAGTGTCACAAAACTAGGTCAATTATCATCTGTTTTACAAAACCAAGGCATTTAGTCTCAATTCATCATGACATGTCTGAGCTCCTTAGACTATCTTTATCTCCAACCCAACCCAACTCAACCCAATAATAAAAAATTATTTCTCTCTCTTTTACATACACAACTCAACTTATAACAACCTACATATCTTTATTCCCAACCCAACCCAATCCAACATAATATTTATTTATTTTTATTTATTTATTAAATATTATTTACAATACATTTTTTGGTATTGTTTTATCTATAATCCAACCCAATATAATAATTTCAATTGTGTTCAAAAACATATCAAGAGTGGTCTCTATTTGTAGAGAATGAAACAATACAAATTTTGATATTTTTTATTTTATTTTTTAATATAAAATAATATCAATAATTTGAGTTCTACTTATCTAATCATATAAAATTAATAGTGCCCAATTGAAATGGGACAAGTGTCCCAATTCTCTCTCCCTTTATCCAAAAAGAATGAAAAAAAAAAATAAAAAAAATAGGAAAGAGCGTGGGAAGGTGGGAAAGGATATAAAATAGAGCTAGGAAGGTGGAAAGGACCGGTTGCGACCCAAGGTCACAATCTGACCTGGGTCGCCTAATCTGCTGCTCCTTTATTTTTTTTTATTTTTTTTTCTGTTTTTTTTTTTGTCCTTTTCCTGGTGACCCAACCTAACGGGTCACCGATAAGGATAGTCTTACAGTCCGAGTTCCCATGCTTGGATACAAAAATTCTGAAAAAATATTCAAATATTTTGAACTCAACTATTTTGTTAACTCAACTTTAACTCAACTCCAATATCATCAATATTATCAATATAATTAAATAATATCAATCAATCATTTTACACACCACATTAACTTTTTCACTATTTATCAACTCACATAATTTTAATTAATCATCACTTAACATTAATTCTCTCCTAATTTTACATCAAATCAACTTTAATTATTTTATTTAAATATTATTTTAATATATCTACTAACAACTAACTACACCATTTTGTGATCGAGCTCCTTAATGATCGAGTTGTGGATCCGCCTATGCTGTCCAAGCTTCTTAATGACCGAGCTGTGGATTTGCCTACGATGTCCGAGCTCCCTAATGTTTTAGTTGCGGATCTGCCTATGCTGTCTGAGCTCCTTAATGACCAAGCTATTTAAGCCCTCATACTCCTAAACTAACCGACCCATGTAGTTTTCATCGCAGAGACCTAGCTGGCCGTGGCCGGTTTAGCCAAGCTATATCTGTTGAGAATCTCTTGCCTTAGTAAGTTGTTGGAATTTTTCCCAACGGATTGTATTTTCCTTTGACAATAATTAGCAACAAGCCGTATAGCAACAAGAAAATCTCTTGAGTAACTTGTAGTGAGCGTAAGAGACCACGTAGATGCAGACGTGGCGACCTGATTATAAAAAGGATCACAAGAACCGATCTTAGTCCACTCTAAAAGTGCGAAGGTCCTATCCAATCATTGAGGTTTTACGCGATGGAGCTTATAAGTTAGAATATTTAGATGGAACTGCTCTTATACATCCATGGAATGTTGTTTNTTTTTTTTTTTTGGTTAATTTTTCATCTTAAAAAAAAATTTATCATCAAGCTTTGTAAATAAGGTCGGTGTAATATATATGCATATTCAGAGGTATCCAAAGCTAATATGTAGTATGAAGTAGGATCCTTGTTGAAATCCACATTCGCCTTTAGATCCTCAATTGACTTTTGAACACCCAGTCCAAGGTTGATATCTATAGAATTCCTCTAGTTCATTGATTTTATGTAATCTTTCCGGCCAGCCTCATAACACTTCATCTTTGATATGATCTGCTGGTTGAAGGGGTGAATCTGATTTTCTTAACTCCTTAAACATCTAATTTGGGGAATAAAACCAACAAGCTGATCACCCTCATCCAAGCATTTGGGGAAATCTGGCTAATACCTAAACCCCACTCCACAACTAGACAATGCTTTGAGAACCTCTAGTTCCCACTGATTTACATTAAGCGATTCCAAAGCAAGACCTACTTACATAACTCTTGTTCGGGCTCGGGGGCCATAATGTTGACTACTGAACTCATCAGTTCCATCTTGACCGAACTCTCAACATTATCATTTTTACCGTTCATAGAAATGTTGAGCTCGCTATACACTGATACGCAGTGGAAATTAAATCAAAATAAACAATCATTTCTCAAATAAATACTAAATCCTTCGCTTCGCGTAGTGATTGTAAGATTTGTTAGTGTTATATACTGAAAGCTTGGCTTTGCATGATATTACACATTTACCCTTTATGAATGAGAATCATGTTAGATTAAACAAGTTCTACGTTCTGTTGTTCTGCACTTAGATAGGGTGGGTCGTCATCGGGCGAACCGAAGATCACTCTATCAGTCACTTGCGAACAAGAATAGTTGTTCACAACCTAGATGGACATGAACACCCCATCCGAACGGTTGTAGTGTCAACTGTACAGTTTGTCTTGACTGATTAGTTGCAC